TTCTTAAATGTATGTTTCAGGCAGCTGTAATCTACATTCTGGATCTGGAAGGTCTGAAGTTTGATGCTTCACTCCTCAGCATCGTTACAGGTTGGTCAACACACATAAAACACAGTAACAAAGAAAGAGATGACTGATCCTGAGGAAATCGAGTTTCTGCGTATTAGCCTTCTACCAGCTCTGCAGACTAGCTAAGGACCTGTTCTTATGGTTCTAAATTGATGTCAAAAGGGCAATACTTCTTACTAACCATAAATGGACTTCCATAATGCCTATATTTTCTTAAGTGGACAGTATTAAAGGCCCCGCAAAAAGTCGTCCTTGAAACTTCAGCATCATTCGTTCTAATTGGATATGGTAAACTCGTATAAACTCGTAATTGACCCTGACGTCAAATGTCAATGTTAATTGGGTAAGTTAATCACTAGCAGTAAAGGAACGTGCACACATCTTGCCTCTCCTGAGGTCCATACAATTTTAAAAACAAACTGAATGGCAACAGTGCTGCTGTCTGCTCCAAAACTTGTCGTTAAGCTCTCAATATTTTTTTTAAATGTGAGCGTGAGAAGTTCTAAAAGTAAAACAATATCTTGCCTAACCATTTTGCCAGAATAATTTTGCTTAACCACCTCCAATTTTGCAGGGCTAGCAATTCAGAAAACTATTGATCTATTTCTCTTATTTTGATTTACATAGAAAAAGAGAATTATAATATTCGATCAAGAGCTATTTTGGAAATTGTAAAAAGGTTCGATACTAATGGAGTTGATGTACGAGCGCTCATTGTTGATAACCACTTTTTGTATTGTTTCGTTTTCCGACAGTAAATTCAAAAGTCATGTCTATTAGATCGTTCAGCACTAATTGAATCATCTGGCCATTGTTCAAGTTTTATTCTAATTTAATACCATTACATGGAGAATTCCTCAACTTGTTAAATAAACTCCTGCAAGTTTCTATTTAACCTGACTTTTTCCAACTCTTTCTAATTTTAAAATCCCAAAGACGGTATCTTGCCTTCATCAAACTTCAGCATAATTTTAGGACCATACCGTATTCTTTGGGCGTCCGTCTATACAAACTATCCGGAATGGATCTCGCAAATGTTCATAGTGAACGCTCCCTCATTTATGAGCTTGCTATGGAAAGTACGCTCACGATTTACGCCTTTAGTTTAACTGCAGTTGGACAAATTTCGGTTTTTCTTGCAGGCAGTCGGCCCTTTAATACCCGAGCGAACACGAAGTAAGGTGAAGATTTGCACGACGAACAGTGACTGGAAGGGTCTTATCCAAAAAGTCAGTGTCTGACCTTTTACATCACAACTGCGCAACTGTTGATGATTGCACTTTTCAGTATGCCAAAGCAGAGAATATCCCTGCACATTGGGGAGGTACATTGGTCGATTCGAATGGTGATGGGATGTGTCGGTAAGGATTTGATTGGATGAATGAATAAATGAATGAATGAATGGATGAATGGATGAATGGATGAATGGATGAATGGATGAATGGATGAATGAATTAGTGAATGAATGAATGAATGGATGAATGAATGAATGAATGAATGAATGAATGAATGAATGAATGAATGAATGAATGAATGAATGAATGAGTAGAGAGCAAGTAATTATAGCTCCTCTAACATTTTTCCCTGATTCTAGTGACCGTCTCAACATTCCCTTTGATCCCATTCCTCAAGAACTCTACTGGACTCCAGATGAGCGTTCACCTGGCCTCAACGACCTTACATGTGCGGCAATTCCAGCCGGAA